CAAGATCTCGAGGGACAATACGCTACACACAAGTAATTGTGAGCCCAGTGGTTGCTGTACAATAAGCATTCAAACATGGGCCGTGATCACTCTAAAGCTGCGATCAGCACAGGAAAATAGAGCGGTGTTTGCGGGATTCAAAGAAACAAGTTTCGGATGACAAACTTGCCGTTTCTACCGACCGACCACCACCACTCAGATCTTTTGGAGAGCAAAAAGCACTTGAGTATAAAACGAGAAATTACTATAACTGTTAAGCTTGTTCACCGGGTTTGTCATGATTTTCTGTTTTAGATTATTTGGAATTAACTGACGATCAATGCACAGACCGTAGCGCTTGTGTGGTTTAAACTAAGAGCATCCTGAATTTGTTGATGTAGCCATGCACTCAGGAGTTTGGTCATCGATTACGCTAAACGGGTGGAGTTTCCACCATACAGCCATAATATTTGTGGTTTGACTCTTGCCCGGGGTAGGAAATGAATTGCTCCGTTAGCCATTGCACCACCAAAATAATTGGGGTGAGTTGTAAGCCTTTGAGTATCTGTGGGTAACATTTGAGTACAGATAACAAGATTCAGTTTACCGACAATAGTTTGAGGGGATCTTGTTTCCAACCGTGATGCCTTACTCATTCAAAAGGTGTGGTATTTACTGCTCAAAAATATTTTGAAATTTGATCTGTTGTACGATAAAAACATCCTAACAGCATTGTATTTTCAATCTTCATCAGAGTGAATTAAGTTACAAAAACAGTCATATTCAGTATGTCCGTTGACCGTCGCATACTTTATAGGTAGCTGTATTTGAAACCACTGTTTATAGCTTAAATTTGAGCTTGCTGTTTGATACATTCTCAGTCTCTTTCACTGATGGTAACCCACTTTTCCCGTGCACCCATTCTCCGCTTCAAAGTTCTCTTTACTGATGGTCTGATGGAGCGTCCGTTTGGTCTACGCGATCAGACTGTTAGATTAAATCCTACAATCTCTATGCATCAATTGTGAGATGGGCAAAGGCTGATGCTCAAACCTGATATCTCCTCTTGAAACTAACCATGGGTTTGTGATGTGTGCTTTTACTAAGTGGAGTAGCCAGCTTTGCAGTTTCACAGTTATCATTAGATTTGAGAAACCAAGGATCTGAAACACGATTAAGTAACGGAATGATCAATTGAGAATTTGGAATAAACACTTGGTTCTAACAGATCTGACCGGTTCGCGCTAATTTTCAACTGCTTTTGTCCATTAAACTCCCCTCTCCAAATTGCCCATATCAAAATGATATAAAACTTAAACGTGCATCTCTGGGTCCCGTGAATTCGATGAATTTCACAGTTTGAATTTTGGTCGGAGGCACTGGATGCTCACTTAGAGAAAAATCGAAAACTGATCTATTTGGGTAATCGTATTTATTATGGGATGAAAAAGTGTCAAACTCACCGTATCGATTCTCTACAGCGAGTGCACATGCCTTGCGTAGAGCGAACAAAGTCCCATTACAATGAAAAAGTGAATTTGAATGTTAGCGGTTAGTAAAATCTCAAATCGGGATTTAGTTGTTAGTAGTCCGTACGTCAAATCTCCGGTGTATTGATTGATGACTCTGCAAAGAAACGATGATCTTTTTGCCTTGAAACAACTTGTGACTCACAATTTTCCCTTGATTTATTTCTGCTACCCAGAGAGCAGTGCCTCGGCGATTTATTGTGTTCACTTTATTGTTGGTTATGATTACTATGATTTACATCCGTATCTTCATTTAAAATTTCAACTCGATATGACACCAAGTATGTTTGAAAAGTTTCACTCTAGTGCTACGGACCTAATCGTTTTTTTTAAATACACACCTGTTTACAACACCTATGGTTATCACATTTTCGCCCTGGAATACATGTGATCGACTCCCGCCACGGCTGTCCAACTTTTCCCTTCTATATGAATCTGCAGATAGTGTCTCAATGGCTGCAGGGCATCTCCTTGCTGAAAGTTGTTTCTAAATTTGCATATCCAATGAAGGGAAATAAAATTATTATTATTAATATTATTATTGTGTGATGAATAGAAGGGGTAAGCCGAATGGTCACGAGAACCCA